ATAAATATTAATATAAATATCTTATATGCTAACATTTGTTTTTTTTTTTTTATACCCTGAACCCATTGAAAATGGGAAATCAGAGTATACAGTAAAGTATATATATTTTAAATCAGGGCGACGAGCTGAGTCGACTTAGCCCTGTCCGTCTCTCTGTCCGTCCGTTCGTCCGGTCGTATGTATGAACGCGTCGATCTCAGAAGATATAAGGGGACACGAGCATATATTGTTTTTCTCCTCAAATCGATAACTACTCCCGATATTTTGTTATCGATTAAAGACCTTATCGAAATCTAGTTATTTAATTATTTCTTCTATATCTTTAGAGGTAGTCTGTAGTCTGCAAATTTTAAATGTAGACTCATATGTATTTTATAGAATTTCAATTTTTGTTGTAAATTGTAAATTTAATGTCAATATCTAAAGAATGTAAAAAACAGTAAGTGCGAAGTCTCTAACATTATTCAGAATATGTTTAAAAACAAATACAGGTTTTGAATATTAGCGATTATAAGAAAATAAGATGAGTTTTTGACAAAATATATAATAAATCAGACTGCGTATGACTTAGAAGAGTATACAGGGAAAATTTTCAAGTCTCTAGCTATTCTGGCTTACGATATAGTTGTACGTACGGGCGGACTGGCGGACAGATGGTCATCAACCTCGTTAAGAACATATATATAGTCTTTATATACATGTACAAATATACGAAACGTATTTACTTTATTCTAGCAATAAATTATTTAAAACATATTTAAATAACACACATTAAAAGTAATCCCCAGCAGCCGCATACGTCCTGGGACAGTGCTTTTCCGCATACTTTACATACGCAGTATTGGAAGTGACTTTGATGCGCTCTCCGCTGGACAGCTTGTTCCACATGTGTATCATAAGCGAATCCTTAGTTCTTGCCATGGTTTCCTCCAGATACTTGGGCTCAGTGAAATGCCTCCACTCTTGCCAATGAATTGAATAGAATGCAGTCGAATTGAATATTCGAAATCCCTTGCAACTCTTACGACCGCCTTCCATGGCTTTCATGAGGCTGGTGCCACAAAATTTCAACAGAACGGCTGTTACGAGAGTTGGCCCATTTTGTACATAATTTTTTCCATTGAAATATTTTTGATACTGCTGTAAAAATAAGTCAGCAACTTCATGACCTATTCCATCGGCTGTTAAACCAATGACAGCACTGCAGAGGGTATCGATAGATTCAGCTCCCACATAGTTCAGAGGCAATTTCTCTAAGCTTGTCAGGACAATAATATCCATGTCTAAATAGATGCCTCCAAACCGATAGAGACTTATGAGACGGAGCAGGTCAGATGTGTGATGCACCGGATAGCTGTGCATTAGAGTAGGTGAGTTACGCTACACTCTAAAAGGAAACGTGAATTTAAAACTCACTTAGAGGTAAACAAATCGTCTCTTTTGACCCAATCTTCAATAGAAGTGTTCATAGCATAGTTCCTTAGATTCAGGTGACGTAAGTTCACGTTCTCATAGCTTTCGATGGCATCGACGAGAAGTTTTTGGCGACCGACAAGAGGACGGAAGGTCGGACACGAAAATACAGTAAAAATTTGGAAGTTCGGATTATTCAGAGCAGCCGATTCTATGGAACAGGCTTGTCGAGCCGTCAGAGTCATAATGTTGGATACCGCATCTGGAGAAGTGCAGCTGGTCTCATGAAAGAAAATGCTGCGTCCTGGCGGTGGCTGCAAGCTCGAATATAGTATGTTCTCAATAAGATTCTCAGTTGAAAGCGATTTCGCTTTTAATATACGTAAGCCGAAAGCTCCATTCGAAATAATTGAAGGGTCCTTGATAGAGGATAGTACGACTAGGAATATTAGAGTAGCAGCCAGAACTGGTATTACGAGACGTCGTACTATGACGTAAAGACACTTAAACTGTTTCTTCAACATTGTGAACCGATGCGGCTGGGGCTAAACTATAGCCACTAACCATACACCACAAAAGTGAACCATCCCAATCGAGCAACCCGAGCAATTACGAAATGTTCTTATTGCTATTGTTATTGAATTGAGTAAAAGATATGAGAGGTAAGATTGTGACTCATTGAATTGAGCAATTTTAATAGCAAGTTAGCAAGTTAATTTATTTTCAATTCTTCTTGACAATAAAGCTGTGTATCAACAGTCGAATTTATTACACAAACATGTTCACCGAACACAAAACAGTTTGCCTACTAATTATTTCAACATGATCGAGAACATAATTTTTACAACAATTTTGGATTGTGAACAGGCAAGCGGAAGACAACAAAAGCGTGTCGCGATTACAGCTAGAATAAACATGTGACTGTGTGCRTGTGGGAGTGAGTGAAATTGAATCAATCAAAACCGTCCGTATTTATGAACGCGTCGATCTCAAAAGATATAAGAGCTAGAGACTTGAAATTTTTTCCTAGGTCCGTGAATATAACGCGCATATTGAGTTTTTCTCCCAATGTCAATAACTACTCCCGATATTTTGTTATCGATTAAAACCCTTACCGAAAACTAGTTATTTAATTATATCTCCTACACCTTTAGAGGTAGAGTCTGCAAATTTTAAATGTAGACTTATATGCATTTCATATAATTTCGATTTTCGTTGTAATATAACCCCCACCCCTATATCCACCCCCTCACCCACATATTTCTAAAAGGCGTATTTCAAACACTAGAGAATGATCCCTTGCGACATGCACGCATTTCAATGTTATGATCACTATCTACATGTTTCATGACTATAGTCCATCGACAAGTTATTAAACAATTAACTTCCCATAGTAAGCCCACACTGCAGTCCATGCGTGATTATGCGTGCATGCCTATGTGTGTCTGTGTGTATGTTTCTTGCGTAAGAAGAAGGGTTTTACTATTTCGCAGGTATAGTTTACTATATACATATATGGTTCTAATAGTTTTATTTCAGGATGAGTGAAGTTACGAAATACTATGTGTTAATGAGAATTGATATATTTTAATATTTGCACACATTGGAAATTTAATGACTTTATTAAAATCAGTTTTGTAATGAAGAAAAATTATATTTGAATGAGCTAAAGTTAGCTGGAATGAATAAAAAATTTGATTTATTTATAGCAGCATTGCTCGTATATTGTATAAAATTTAAAGAAAGTAGAGCTATTTTTGTACAATGCAGATGAACAACTTTCGAGCGCAGAATCAATCGTGTTTATGTTTACTGGTGGCAAAGGCATCAGTTGCATTCGCATTCATATTCTGGGGATCATATGGCAAACCCGTGCAGGTTGGACAAGTGCCCTCTTCCCTATAGACAATCGCCGCGCCAGTATGACCGTAAATTCGATACAAGCACAGCAAACGATGACTAACACACAGCAAGGGGATTAGCAGTATACCAAATATAACTAAGCCCAACCAATAGCCGTTCTATAATCAGATCAAGTTAGTGCTGGATGGACCATATGAATATACATATATGTATATTCATGTTTCTACTCACAATTGAATTAACCAAATAATCGCAGATTTTATTTACATTATGGATGTGACTTTGTGCCAAATGGTCACAGGGACCAATCTCATTCAAACTGATATTGATGACCATATCGAAGTAGGTGTTAATTTGTCCATGAATAGAGTTTGTATAATTATCAACGATGGTATTCAGATAACCGCTGCCAACGCCTTCTATATAATTCTGCGCCTTCATCAGTCTGTCCAATAGAATTTTAATGGATTTGTTAAAATTGTTGTCCTCAAACGTTATAAGATCATCGATTCGGTAAACATGTTCTTCAATCTGATCTATTGTCTGCAATATTGTTTTCCCCATGAGCGTATACTTCGACAAGTCTGTCGCCATTCTAAGTAAATTCACATATGCCACTTGCATTCGCTCATCTAGATAGCTACCATAGCTTTCAGCGAAAAAATTGCTTGCCCAATCCCGCAAATCGCTAATAAATTGGGGTATATCCAACTCGTCTATCTCTCGGCACAACACATCCATATAGGTTCGACTATGATAATTTGATAAGTACTTCGCACGTAGCTTAAAGATGTGATGAAACTCTTTCGGCAACATAAACACCAACGCATTAAAATAAATGTCTAACTTGCCAAACTGTAGATAGGTGCTTTCCTCTAAATGGATATTGATTTCTCTCAGTCTCTTAATGTCGTACAAATTATTGTCGCGCAGCATCTCGAAGATCAACTGATCGGCGCGGCACTTTTTGATTCCAGCGGCAAATTCAGACGGTCGAGGGAATTCTGTACTGTTTACTGCATTCGATTTCTGTAGCACAGTTTCCAGCAGCGAATGGAGTGTGTTTCGCCCCTCGTCATCGTACAAAATACACGCCGGATAAAAGACCAATCCCAGCGTGAAGTAGAACAGACTTATTATCAGTATGAATGACAAGACGGCAAACATTAAAATAATCGCGCTGTAGAGATTTTGTATATGTAATAGATATTGTATATGTAATTGGATATTTATATGGGGGAATACATTTTCAACTTACAGTAACATACAGCTCGATGCTGAGTTATCTTTTCGTATGCAAAGCCCAGTTATAAGAGTATAGCTCAATATAATCACAATCTGAAATGTGAAATGAGGCTTTAAAACCATGAATCATTAAGTAAAAGTAAAAATAAATCGGGGTGCTGCTGGTACTGGTAACTGAAAGGCTTAACTTTAAATTTATATACATATTTCATAAATTCAAATTAAAATCGCATGTAAAAATTCAGGCTTATTTATTTTAACAGCATATACTATCAAATTTATTTATAAATACATTGCAATATATATGTATTTAAAATTTAAAGTCTCCAGCTTTAGTAGTAAATGACATCGATATGAAATAGAGAAATACTGCTATAGCCTATCAATAAGTTTGGCTTCCTATAGCCTCCGAGTTTTCTATATGCTTAGGTTTATGTTGAGCTTTCAATAAACTTTGATTTCTATAAATTAAGCTTTCTATTGACTCAAAGCTGTCTATATATTAAACTTACTACAGGCAAAGCTTTCTATAGACTAAGCTTTCTATACAGTGGGTTTGATCGGATTTCTTTATCAATAATATTCATAGTCTGTAAGCTCATAAAAATAGCAAATAAAAAAAAAAAAAATAAAATAAAATAAAAAATATTTAAAAAAAAAATTTTTTTAAATATATAAAATTTATGCGTAGTTAGTTTACTCACCGTTAGCATGATGAAAAAYAAACCGAAACTGGCATACCAACGATTACGGCCATAGTTCTCGTAAAGCTCTTCAAAGCTTTTGGTCGAATGCAAGTTTCGTATATATATGTTACTCATAGCCCTATAAGTTATATTGCATATCTTGTGGCTTTCGGACTCTAGGGAATCGGCCAACATGCTGATGCGACGTATCATGGGCGGTATCATCGGGTCGAGAGCGAGTTTGAGTTTCTGTTCTTCATTGTACAGGCGATCTAACCAGGATTTCGGTAGTCTATAATAGTCTTCATATATAATGTTCTTGACATCCTCAATAAAGGCGCTGGTATTCGGCAGCTGAAAGTAGTAGATATTGTTATTGCTGTTGTTGTTGATTTGAGTAGATATTGAAATCTTGCCTTATCGAAATGAAGGCATTGTGAAGTATCCATGTATAAAAGTTTATAGCTTCGAATTATGTTATTACACTCAAAGAAATCGCACCACACGGTAAGAACATATACGAAATCACGCTTAGCCCCACGCAAAGCTACACAATTAGAGAGCTAAATATATATTAAAATTGCTATTTTATAGATATTTGAATTACCATCACGGTATTGGCTGCCAATGAAAACTAAATAGGCCTGCATTTCCTTCACCTGCTCCAGAAGCGCCAATGCCTCGGGCATATTGTCAAAGATATCCTCCAATACTTCTAATAGTTGTAGGCCCGCCTCTGTTCTCAGATCCTTATGGGCCATCTCCGCAACGGCTGCAATTACATGTGATTCCGGCATTATTTCAACAATCAAATCAATCATCAATCAGAAATTTAACTAAATTCTAACCAAAGAGCTGGCTACTCATCGTCGTCGCCAATTCCTCAAAGTTATCGACGAGCAAGTGACGGACATGTAGGCAGACGTCCTGCAGCATGGCACAAGTGTCCCTGTTGCTGCGCATCATTGTCTCGCTGCTGTCTCGCATCGCATTATTGATGAGTTTATCGTTCAGGAATGCCACGACCAATCCAAACCTAAGTGATATTTACTTTAAATATGTATTTCACATATGCATTTGACTCAACTTACATAGCTCCCAGTATAAGTGGTATTAGCAGTAAATTCAGTAAAATACGCTTGGTCGTATTCGAGGCACTTTGACAAGGTGGGCAAATGGCGTGGCAACGGTAACAACAGAAACAAAAATAACATACCCTATATGAAATGTGATGAAAATGGCATTAATGAAGCTATAATTACGATATATTTATATAATAATATATTATATT